TCGATCTCGGAAGACCCCAGAGCTGGTGAAGACTGCTTCCCTGCCCAGCACCAGGACATCTGGAGGAGTCCCTGGGCGTGTTTAGTAAATGCCCTGATGTTTTATTCAAAAGCCTGTAGAGAAGAGAAGAGTACACAATGGTTAATGATACATTTCACTGCTGATAAGACAGCAATGTTAAACTCCAGAACAGCAAACTGCAGATTGCTTTGGTTATTGCCAGGACTGTTTGGGACTGGCCCAAGTCTGCGGTGAGGTCTGACCATGGGGCGTCAGCAGCCGCTCGCCCTCCAGGCCAATCTGGCAGGCGAGACCAGCCGGCTCCGCGCTCCCAGACCCACAGCTCAAAAGCAGCAGGCCCCCATCCCCCAAAACCGCTGGGATCTCACCCGTCCCTTGCTCAGCTCACATGCCAAACAGAGCTGGATGGCAACTCAGCTGCACGGGAACCTTGGGCAACTTCTCCGCAAACGAGGGCGTCCTCTCGCTGGCGTTTGTCTGCCCGCATCTGCGTCTAGCAGCAACACGGGGAGATAACGACGCACGTGGTTCCTCCTGGACAGACGACAAGCAGGCACTTCACTAATCTGGTCTCTCTCAAATGATCATAGTTGTATTCCCATATACTCTCTTCTTAACTCTGCTTGGCATCCTTCAGAAAGCCAAAAGCGCTTCCCCAGCGGCTGACGGGGCGGGATGGGGGGAACCTTCCCCAAACGCCTGCATCACAAGCCAGAGCCTCCTGTGCGCTTTGAAAAACGCCCCTGGGAGCCAGACTCCTACTTAGCACCCAGCCGATCACAGTGCTCCACACAGGTGTCACTGAGGTTGGTCCTGGAGCCACCACGATAAAACAGGGCCTTTCTCTGCACCTGTGTGAAAAGGAGAAGACACAGCAACACTATAAATACTACATGTTTGGAAGGAGACAGGAGGATGAGGCAGATTCTCTCATTTTACTGAGAAAATTTCAGGTTGTCATATAGAATTGTAAAAAAGGAAAAAAGACAAGATAATAAAAGGACTGTCTCCAGTAAGAGGCCGTTCACTTCCCATTGGATATATAAAGACAAACTGCTTTCTTGAAATCAGAAAGCAGCGTACATACTCTTCCTGTAATGAGTAACTGTACAGTTTGTATACAAGGAATATGGTTTTTATTCCTTGTACAATAAGCAAAACGTTAGTACTTTTTGAAATAAACAATTACACTGAAATTATACTTCTACAATTTAGAAATCAAGCCTAATCTAATTTGCTACAGCTGGACACCACCTGCAGAGCACTGTTTAAGTACTCTGAACATTACACACTTATCTTTTAAATATTGATAATGCCATTTTTCATTTATGTGACATGAAGTCCCACAGGGAATAATTATGCTAATAAACCTTAATGATTCTTGCAAATAAATGATCAAACAAAATTGCTACTGTTGATTTATATTAATGGATGCCTTTAGGAGGAGATTTGTCAGGATGTGCTGCTTCTTGAATCCCAATTCATCTTATTTAGCAGAAGAATGTACATAGTTTGCAAAATAGATTAAGTGTTTAAAATATAACATGTTCATGGAGTTTCTGCAGTTCGTAATGTTCCAGTATTATTGTCTTGCCTTATGGCAAATCTGCATTAAACGGGTTCTTTGTATACAACTTTCTTCAGCCCTTTCTTTTCCTTTTTCTGTCCTTTATGGCTAAAAAGTCCTCCTTTTGAAGATCTTTTTCTTACCTGTTACCCATGTAAGAATTGGCGATCACTTTGCTCTCCTCGCAGATGAACACCACTGTCAAACAACTTTGTTTTCCCAGCAATGAGTCTAGAAACATTCTTGGTGCTTTTACAAAGTCACATCACCTGAAGTTGGGTGACCCAGGGAATCTTACAGGGTACACAAGGATAAACTCAGACAATTTCTACTTTTCTGCCACTGTCTGATATACTGGAAATTCCCACCCCTCATCATTTCAGTTTTTGAAATTATAACTAAGTTTATTTGTAAAATTCCTGTTCATGTGGGCTTGCCTGTTAGCTGATACATATATCTGAAAGCAATATCAACGTAGTCCTGATTGTGGGGCAAGCGTTACCTTAGCAGTGTCACCGGAGAGGAAGCTGGGGAAATGATAGACTAGAGAAGAAGCTTTAAGATTATGAATTTAAACTTTAGTGGGTCTATAAGAAGATGGGTATAAGCCCACGCTTTGTCTTTGTCTGTGTAAACCATGTACCTAGATACTCACAGCTGTGGCCGAGCAGGATGCGAACGAGGCGGGCAGAGGCGGCGGGAGCCTGCTTTCTCCACCTGCACAACACCTCTGCCCACCGGCGAGAGTCCTACAGCAGGCTTCTTTCTTTGCCTGAACAATAATAGACAATAACAAATAGATTAACTCCAGCGGGATGCGAGCACAGTGAAGGGCTAAGATGTTTCTGCCTTCGAGGCAAATAATATGGCTAAGTAATCTCTAATTTGCTGGAACTTGCACCTACCTGGAGATTTTTAGTATTTATTCCCCCCTTTTTCCCCTCTCCTACTGCTTGTCAGAAAAGTTCAGTGTTTCAAAGAACAACCAAGTAGTCTACAATGCAAATATCTCTTTCCACAAGGTAACCAGGTCCCATGAAACATGACATTACATCCACAACAGGCTCATGTTCCAAACACTTGGCATGAACCGATTTTAATACTGCCTGGAAAATGCAGTCATGAAATCCAGCTGAAACATGGCACTAATTCATTCTCTGCAGAAGGGTACAAATAGCCAGAGTGCAGGGATGAAGGTCTCTAATAATGCTCTAGAATGAACTGACAGTTTGAATTATTTCTTCAAAGACAAACATTTTTTCCTTTGCAAAGCAAGGGCTACTCTTGCATGCCCTGAAAGCAATGGAAACACCAAACATTGAAGGGCTGGAATATTCTGAACAATTTCCTTATGTTGTGTGGACTGACTCTGATTTGTCAATTCCACTTTAAACACTGGTACTACAGCCTTTCTTCTGAGATGTGGCGCATCAGTCCTGCACATGGCAGGGAGTTTGCTTGTCCTGCATTTCTCTTGAACAAAGAGAAATGTGCAAAGTCTCTCTTCCACCCTTCCCTCGCACGGGTGTTCTTTAATAGCTCCCCAAGCAACTAATGGGGAAACATTTTCAAATATGTAATTACCTTTTGTATGCGACAGCAGCATGAAGACATGGAGCAATTAGCAGGATTGGACACAGACTGAGGATTAGGTGTACCTGAACTCTGGCTTTGTCTGTAATTGGCCTGCATAGTGTTCAGAAAGCCATTTTATCTTACTGCCTTCCTGCACGTCTGCGATGATACTTGTCATACTTGCACAGCAGGACTATCATGTGGATTAGTATGTTTATAACTGTACTGCACTTGAATCCGTACATCATTGCCTATTAAATATATGTTGAAATTCTTGATGGAGCTATCAGGACTTGCACTTCCCCAGCAGCATAACTGCCATTATTCTCATCAGCCTCTCTCCTCCCTTCCTGCTCATTGCAAATCATAAAGCGAGACTGATCTCATGTGCAGACTGATGCAAGCTTTCAAGAAACAGATGACGGCCCTTTTTCTGGTGAGGTTCCCAAGGCAGTTTGGGTTCTCAGGTCACCCAGGGGAGGCGGCGGCCACTCGGTCCCAGCCACAGGATGCTGCACTGCAAGTCGGGAGCCCTGCTTCTATCTCTGGTACTCTGTGCCCGTTTTCCTACCACTAAAATGGGAGTAGTCATGCACCCAAACTTCACTGTACAAAACCCACAGTATTTACATATGCATAAATATAACTTCATACACAAATGAAGACCCAGGATTGACTTTAACACTCAGATAATGCTTATGTGACATGGTGATGAGTGTCTGGGAATGGTGGGTAAAAACCTGGATGGTGATTTGAAGTCAAGGGATTTTGCTACTGGCTGAAACAGGGCCAGGATCTCCCTCCCAGATTCATGCGTGGTACTTTTGTGCTTTTAACATCAAATGTTACTTTCCCATTTAATTGATAAGCAAGTTTGCTTATCCCCAGGTCTATTCAGATGTGTACTACAAAGAGACAACTGCAGGTTACAAAAGCTCATTTTAGTATTTTCATAAATGAATGGATGATCTCTGTCCTCTTTCCAGTCTCAGCCTCTTTCAGGCATGCCTAGCTCCCAGCCTCGGGTTTTCTTGTTGCAAAGCATTTCTCAGGCCTTTCCTTGCTTTGTTTATCTGCAAGAACTCTTCCTCTTCTTCCTCTCTGTGAGTCTGCAATGACATCTCTC